ATTATAGCGTCGGTGTCCTTCTTGGGTATGGTAATGGTACGTTTGCAAATCAAATGACATATCCAACTGGAATTACGCCATACTCTTTAGCTATTGGTGATTTCAATAACGACAATCAACTGGATATTGTTATCACGGCCGAATGGACTAATAATATGAGTATTCTTCTTGGATCTACCAATCAAGTATTTGTACCACAAACGACACTTATAACTGGCAATTATTCCCGACCACGATCTTTGGCTATCGGTGATATTAATAATGATGATCAAACAGATGTTATTGTTGCTAATTCAAACACACAGAATATTGGTATTTTTCTTGGATATGGTAATATCTCCTTTGCAAATCAAGTTACATATTCAACTGGTTTATACTCATCTCCATATTCGGTAGCTGTTGGATATTTTGACAACGATACTTATCTAGATATCGTCGTAGCTAATTACGGTACTGCTAATATGGGTATTTTTCTGGGATATGGAAATGGGTCTTTCAAAAATCAAATAACATATTCTACTGGTTCAGTTTCGGGTCCTTATTCTCTAGCTGTTGCTGATTTTAACAATGATACGTTCTTGGATGTTTTGATTGCTAATTATGATGGCAACAATCAAGGTGTTTTTCTTGGACGGGGTAACGGTACATTTGCAGACTTCTTGGTTGTTGCAACCAACTATGGATCTCATCCCTCGTCTGTTGTTGTCGGTGACTACAACAATGACAAAAAAACAGATTTTGCTGTGATTAATGATGGTACTGACAATTTAAATATACTCTTACAGACATGTTAATACTCTATTTCATACATTTTTTCTTTTTTTTTATCTATTATTCACTTTTTTCATACTAATTATATTTATTCTTTATATATTCAATATATTTTCTTGATACAAAAGCTACATCTAAAGATTATAATACAAGAAAGTTATTAGCATTAAACATTGCAACGCTTCTAAATAGATTTTCTCAGAGACACTTTGTTTTTGTAGTATAAAAATTAAAAATTAATGTATATTTTCGGTTTATACTACTTTCTTAAGGTATTTACACGATGCTAAGATATTTTGAAGGTATCGACATAATCAACAGTATGCCTATCGCATGGTTATGATAGATTTGATTTTGTTAGGTGAACACAGTTCATTACATCAGTAAAAGACCTGTAAAATGATGAAACTTTGTACTGCTATAATATATATTTCTATGAATGTTTTAATGGCTTATACTAATGTCATATATTATTCACGAGTATGTGAATATAAAGAATTATGACCACAGTTGTATATGATATCTATTTAAAAACTTCTTATCTAAGATTTTAATCTAATTATCAAAAGATTATAACCGTCGAATCCACACACACATTTTCTGTGAATATAGGTATTTTGCATTTTTAATTAATAAATATCTGAATCAAATAAAGATAATGTTACTGAAATTTTAATGGAACATGATTAAGAAAAGTCGTTTAAAATGTGAAAAACAAATGAGTTGATATGAGCGTGACAAAATGTGTAGAAATTTAGTTATGCACTAACTCTTAAATTTTATTGTTATATTCTCACTTTGAATTAGAAACTGAAGTAGTTTGCAAAGTCTATAATAAAAGTGCTTATTATTTGACCCTTAGTATAGTAACTACAGCAGTATTTTGATATACTATCTTCATGAAATAATTGATAATACTTTAAAAGAATGAAATACTATTTTTTTTATATACGAGAACAAGTTATATTTCCTGCATATATCATATATGCACATTTCGTATTCACCGAATTCCCAAACTATTATTACAAATCATAGAAGAGAAAAATGGATAGTTTACAAAATGATTCTAAAGTATTATATTTTCACTATTAAATGACCATTGACAATATCATATACATATAAAATATATGAAAAAAGGACAAATGGAATATAACCAAGAAAACTAGACAAGTAGTTGGGAAACATTAATGATGGAAGGATGTTAAATAAAAGTTTAGCTTGATGTTATACGACAAAAAGTTCTTTGTCTACATTCATTAAATAATTTTTTTCTAACTGTTACAAACAAGAAAAAATGCTTATAAAAGAATTCAATAATCTTCAAGATCCACTCGAAATTCTAATTATTATAATATTAAAGTTTTAAAATAGTATAATTATACTTTTAATGATGTTTTCTGTAATGAAATCCACTAATGCCCCTGAGAATATGATTTTTAATTTTTTTTTCGATCAATGATTAGCACATCTTACATATACGTCTTCTTTTACTTACATATATGGAAAAAAAATTTGATTTTGTTTATATATATGTATATTGGTTAGTTAACACCAAGGCTGATAACGATGACTCAAGTCATCACTCTTTTTTATACGCGTTTTATTAAAAATGTGATAGATGATCACATTTTTTCTTTTTCTTTTCTTTTTTCTTTTGGGTCATGATGCATGATGCGCTGAGTCAAAAATGTAAACATCTATCACATTTTTTCCTTCTTCTCTTTTTTATATATACTGTTCATTTCTTTTGTAAGGACACGTGTTCCGTGAATTAAATCAAGTCTATGAGATATACTCATATACAATATTACTCTCTTTCTCTTAGCCCTACAGACAGACTAACAAACACAATCACTTGATATCAATATAAATCATAGGAGAAAACAAAATATCGATACGTTTGTACGGTTTTGTTACAAGATAAACAATACTCAAGACTGGAATCGTGCTCTAAACGTTTGAATTGATATTTTTCTATCGTAATTAGACAGTCGCTTCAAGAATATTTGATTTTTTCCACTTATTTACCATACAGATTAAAATACTCACATACTTATCAAATTATTTTGATAATAATCTTCTAATAGTGTAGTTAGAGTTATGCTGTTTAATTCTTTGACTTCCAAACTTTCCCTCGTCATGAGTGGTAACGATTGGGAACATCTGTCACAGCATATTTGCTAGTAGATATATTTGTCATAAAATATTTGAATTATGGAAAAATTACAGAAAGTCATGCTACGGTTAAAAATATAGCTAAGAATAACTTTCATTAATGTTGTTTGTAATTGACGCTGATTCTCAATCAAATACTTTTATTATAATGAAATAATATTATATCTCCATTCGCATGATGTCACTAATGTCCAACGAACCTGCATTGAGGCATTTTTAGTTATTCTACATCACGACACTTACCTGTGAATATTGCGCAAGACAGTTATTTTTTTGTTCTTTCGAATAGAATTTCATAACTTCAAATGAATTTCAATAGAAATAAAACTTATAAATGTAAAGTAAATGCGGTCCGAAGGCTGATGGGTTATCCTTTGAACAAACCTCCCATTAGTTACTCCCATGACCGTTTTTTGCCTTTCAAGATTAACGATAGTTTAAATTATTCATAAATAATTCTTTTTTAAATGTATAAATATCGTAATTTCTTGAATCAGATAATCGATATTTATTTATTCGTTTTTCCTTTCAAAATATTATTTATCTATAACTTACCAGCAGTATATCCACGTGGTATATATAACAATATAAGAACGAACATACAAAAATAAAATAAAAGACGATCATTTTCATATTGAATTATATCTTTCAGATGGAATCTAGTCCTCGAACAGCTTCGATCATTGTTAATGATCTTGAACAACGTCTTAAAAATCTTTATACAACACGTGTACATGATGAATTAACATTAAATAATCTTGAATTATTACTTAATGAATGTTCAAATCAATTAAATCGTCTTATATCTTCATCAGATTCAACATTAGTTGCAATTATTCTTCCATGTTTACTTCATACAATTATATCATTATCAAAAATTTGTACAGAAAAATCTGATATTATTATATCAGGATCATTTTTATCACGAGATCAACTTAATTTATTAATGACGACAACTAAAACATTATATAATCAAATAAAAGAATTTATTAAATCACCTAATCTTTCGACAATATTAAGTAAATCAACTGAACGAAGACATTTTTGTGAACAATTACGTCTTGTTACAGATTCAATTGCTAATTCTGATATTGTAACAACAATGTTTTGTCAAAAATTAATTGTTAAAATATTAACAGGTAGTGATGATCAACAACAATTATCACAAATTCAAATGGAAGATACAAATGATGGTTTAATAGTTGCTGTTTATGGAAGTGTATTACAACAAATGATTACTATTTCTACAAAAAGTTCACGAGATAAACCAGATAATAATCGAGAATCGGCAACGGTTAAAGTAAATTTGCTTTTTTTAATTCTTATACATACAATTAGAATACAAATTTATTATCTAAATATTCAGATAATCTTTAATCTACGTGCAGTTTCTATTCAATTTAAACTAAGGATATGATAGATTAATACAAATTTGCTTTAAAAAATGAATACAAAGAAAGCACGTTTCAATTAATTCGTTAATAAAAATTTCTATAAACATTCCAATAATAGAACTCTTATTACTTAAGTACATTTTCATAAGTAACAAATTCGTTAAAATAAAAGAACATTTTAATTTTTTTCTCTTTCGAATAAATGAATAATATTCAAACGATCATTCACACTAAGAATTATTCTAAAATAATATAATCGAATCATATCATACTTAATCCAAAAAAACTTAAAAGTATAACCTTTCTCAGCATTTTCTCAAGAACAGCTCATTCTTGAATACTTTCTTTATATGATATCGAGAGTCGAAATGCTAAAAATAGTTTCACATCTTTCCCTCTACAAAACTTTCAGGGATCAGTCATTCATTCATTTTGGTCTGTGTTAGGCACAGGGTTCGATGCATGCCTGGCTGAGATATTTTAGTCATAGTTATGTATATATGATAATGCATAAGATTTTTTCTCTAAGAAAACAGTTAAATTTCTTCGATAAGATATATCTCAGAGAAAAAGACACATTCTAACTTGATTAAAATATAGATAATAGTAGTTTCAGTCCGATTCAATTTGTCACGTAGGAAAACTTTGATTTCTTAAATTTTTAATCAAGATAGCTAGAGTCTTGTGATCTTCACTATTCGAGAGAAGGAACAAAAAACTAGTTAAGAAGCAAAGGGTAAACAACAGAGACTTCGTGCCTGAAGTCTCACGAAATCTTTGAAGTTTCTAGAAGTCTTATGAAGCCTTTTGAAATCTGAGAAGTCGATTGAAGTCTCTTGAAGTCTTTAAAATCTTGAAGTCCGCTGTTACCCCCTTGTTAAGAAGTTATAAACATTTTACTCGACTCCCGATAGTAATAACTGAAAAAAACAAGTTTTTATAATAAGTCTACATTCAAATAAAATGACATTTAGTATCTCAGTTCGAGATCGAATATTTTCATAGTTAGCAAGCATGTTTAGAATAGTAACAATATTTTTCCGTGTGCTTGAGTATTACGAATCATTTAATAAATTCTAAAAACTAATCACATAATTATATAATATCTTCTAAGTAATATTTAACAGATCTCTATAGGAGAAAGTCGAATGTGATTAGTTTGTTTATTTTTAAATTCAAATAAAATCATATTTTCTTTTATAATTAAATAGATGTATGGATTATATTTTCAAATGTTAAGTAGATTAATACAACATAATAATACAATATCTGAAATTGAAAATTATAATGATTTTTTTTCGTACAATGCTTCATATCCATGCCTGTCTTGAATCAACATGTCAACAAAATCGTTTTCAACTTGAATTTTTTAATAATACAATAGTTTTACAAGAAATTCTTTACAATTTTATATCATATTCTTTATCGAAATCAATGAAATCGTTTTTTGATGAATTATTTCAAGAATTATCATTAAATAAAAATAAATATGCATCATTAATATTACTTTTTCGTATTATTGAAACATTTGATTTAATTTTAACAAAACAATCTTATGATCTATCAATACATTTAATTAATCTTCTAATTACTCAATTATTTAATTTAATTGATCAATGTCGTGTACAACTTATTTTACCAGCACTCCTTCCAATATCATTTAATAAAACTCAAGTTGAATATGGTAGTCTATACGATATAACATATTCACTTCTAATGAAATTTTTTAATCATGAACCGATGCAAACAGTTCTCTCATCAATGAATCAACTTGTACAATTATCTGATGATGATAATAATTCTTCCATACTTCCAACATCTATACAATTATCTAGTGAATTAATTATTCAATGTTGGTTTTTATATCATCAATCATTACAATTTCAATATCTTTATGGTTTATTTCTTAGTGAACTTCTTCAACTTGATATACATTCAAATTTAATAAATCATTTCTTAACAATGCCTAATATACGTCAAGTTAAATTCTATGCTTATGAAGCAATAATATCATCAAATACATTTCAACATATTTATAATTTCTATTCAAATATTTCTTCAACAAAAGAATCAATAATTAATTCAACAAATCTTTCATTAATATATCCAACAAATATCAATCATCTCTATTCATTTATACGTTTATTTAATACAGAATTAAATTTAAATCAAATTCAACATACAATGGATACATGTATTTATTCTATTCAACAATTTCTTTCATTACCATTTATAACAGAATCAACATGTCGAAATTTTATTATTATTTTACGTTTATTAACATATTTAACAAATAATAATATGAATGAAAATTTAAAATGTTTACTTGGTCAATTAACACAAATATTTATTATACTTGATGAACAAACAGCAATTGATGTACGATTAGAATTATTACATGTCTTTGCTATACATTCAAATATACTTGATGATAATGATCTTGGTAGATTACTTGATTTTATGTTAACAAATTCAATTGATTCAAATCCAAATTCAATTGCTTTTCATATTGGATGTTTAGATGTAGTCGATTCATTACGACAAAGACAATCACGTAGTAATAATATAACAGATCTTATTATTCAATTGATTGTACGATATGGAAATGAACATCAATGTAGTAATTTACTTAAAGCTCATCTTATGGTTAGTTTTAATAATTTCATTTAGATTACAATATGTTCTCTTTTAAGAAACATATGGCATATTGTTAGGAAAAAAACTAACATTAGTTATTCTAACTTTGCGCTTTGTGACTAATTTTTATAAGATCAATCTATAGATAGAAAGAAAATTAATGTTCTAAATCGATAATTGAATTAATTAAATCGTACATGTCAACATTGAATATAGTTGCTCGTAAATCTTCATATAGAAAATTTTCAAATTATCTCGATGATAATGGATTATTACAAGATCTAAAAAAAAAGAAGATCTATCTAATCATCAATGATAATTGTATCCGATTGTCTTTCGGAAGTAGATGCGGCAAAATCATACGATTACGATAAGCATATTTATGATTTAGCATAGATGACAGATGTTTTTTCGTTAGAATGATTATAGTATATGTTTGAGAAGGAGAAAAAAAACACTACTTCGTATTTTTCTTTAATTATATGACAACATTTTTTCTTTGTTTTTTTAGAAAATCTTCCTAGCATATATATCTAATGGCAATGATGATTCATTACCGATGAAAGTTAAATCTCAATGTATATTATTACGTGCTAGTATTGATGAATTTGAAAAAAGTAAAAAAACTGTAGGAACAACAAATAATCGTTTTCCAGATGAAAATGTATTGAAAGTACTTGATTCAAATCATTCAGCAATAGCCAAAGATTTAGTAACACAAGATCATGATATACAATTAAAATTTTATCAAACAATTATCAATGAACTTGAATTTCAACAATGTTCATTATCAACACAAAATCTTAATGCAATGCAACAAGATTAAATATTCAAATGTGTGTGATTATTATATTTCTTTTGTCTTCATTTTTTTCTTTTTCTCATTCCAAATGTATGTGTATAAAGCATTATCGTTCACGTACGTGTGTCTCTGTATATTTTTCATTAGAAAAAAACAAACATCATCCATATTTCATTATTCTATCTAATCTCAAACTTCTCATTGCGTGTTAAAAACACTTCAGAATTATTATCTTTTTTTCTTCTTGTTCTTCTTCGTCTTACTTGAATAAGGCTCAACACTAATCATGAGGATGACGGATCAACACATATAAATATATATATGTTATACTTTTTATGATCATTGAGATGAAAAATAGAGCTCATTGTTATGATAGTTTTTTATTTTCTTACATAGCGAGAAAAGTAAAGAGGAAAAATAGATTGATAGGAAGAAGCATAGAGAGAGAGAGCGAAAAGGACGTTCTACTCGATAAAATAACGCTGTTTGCAGCCGTTAGAAAGTACTTGTTTGCGAACGGGCGACATAAATGGCATGTAGTTCAATAAAGCATACGTGGTGAGAAGAAGAAACGACATAGTATAGAAGAAACATACAAAGACAACGATTGATTCAATCGATACCATTAGTTTCTCTTCTTTCTTCGATTTCTTTTTTGACATTTTCTTTTATATTTCTTCTACAGTGTCATCTTATTTGTGATCATTCTTAATTACACTTTTCTTTTACTTTTGTGTCGTCGAAAGCTGTTATCAAACATAAACATATTTACACACACACACATATATATATATATATATATATATATATGCAGAAAAACTAATTTATATAATTATTAAATAAGTTTATCGTATAATAATACTTTTTGTTTGAATTATTACATCAAAAAATATGGTCAATGAATGTTGCACAAATGAATTATGTGTTCGGAGAGATACACAATTACGTTTAGCACGACTACGTGAAGAATTATTGTCTAATTTTAATTCACTTTTAATTGATCGTATTCGTTTTCTTGAACAAACAGTCAATCGATTATCATTAATATCATCATCATCATCATTATCTTCATATACAACGACATCAATACCAGTACCATTAACAGATAAACTTCAACCTCCAGAAATCGTAATAACAGATCGACTTGCCGTACCATCATCATCACTTCGACGTAGTACATCAGAAACAACTCATTTTCTTTATACACCTGATGATCCAAATTCAATTGGATCAGTAGGAAATTTACGTACATGTCCATCTAGTGATGATTTATCGAATAATAGTGAACGACGAAAATGGTTTTTAGCAATAAAAACATCACTTTGCACAAAAGAACGAGCATCGTTAGGATGTAATAATGATTATTTATCGACACCTGTTATACATCGACAATGGGCACGTTCAGCAAATGATATTTCATCGAGTTCGAATATGAATGAAAAAACACGATTAGAATCAAGACGTTTTGCAACTGATGTTGATGATAATGATGTACGAGCATTTAAAGCAATGGTCTATACGGAACAAGCTCGAAAGCAAAATGCACGACCATTAACACGTTTACGACACGCATTAGGTATACCCAAACAATAGCAATACAGAAACTTGTGCAGAGAGACAAACTTTTAAATTTATGACATCCATTTATTTTATTAAATATTGTGAACTTATTTTTCTTATCAAATGAAATTATGTCATAGCTTTTTAAAAAATATTCAAATGTCATATAAAAAGTAATCTAATTTATAGTATGGAACTTATTCGTTAGTTCTGTAAAGTATTTAGGTTAGATTTTGACAAAAAAAGAACTAATTAAACATGATGTTTTATGATCTTGAATTCTAAGATGACGAGACGTTTGCCAATTGGCGAAATTCCAGAAGCCCAAATTATATTGATTAGCGTTGAATAGAGACGGTTAAGTTACTTTAAATAAACATTGATAATTTTACGCTTTGTCTATCAAGCAAAGAATATTATATTTACCAAATAATATGATTCAATAGAATTTATTATGATCGACGAGAATAGTTATATTATTTCATCATCTATGAGATTCTTTGCACCCAGTTTGAAATATTCTCTTGAGAATTACTTAAAAATGAAATAAAAACTATATATTATTAATAATGAAATAGCTATAAAATATGTCAGATCAAATTTACTTGATTTTGTATTCTCACTGTAGTCTTTGAATCGTTAAATTTGTTATTATTGCTTTTTAGTAATTTGTTTGATGTTCCGGCAGAATATCAAGCCGTTAATGTGTATATGTCATTAAAATTGAGCATCTTACTTTGTTTTTATAAACTATGATATGCATTATTTGTGATACTGAGATATATCTTTTTCTTCGAATAGAAAAAAACGTTTTAGTTGAAATCCGATTAATAGATGAATGATTGTGACTTTTGACACATATATTTAGCAGATTTATTCGTGATTAAAATCCTTTGATGATGCATATTATAACAGATAAAACATGAAAATAATGTCTAGACAGAAGCGACATCTCTAATATAAAAATCTTTATCAAAACAATATCCAATCCAAACGAGTATGAGTGTTGCTTTCATCCATCACTCAATTTCAATATTATTATTGTTTTTAGGCTGATTTAGCCTATTTTAATAGGAAATATCTCAAATTACAAATCATCTAGTCAAAGCTCCTAGTTTCTTTTAGATATTGTGATTAAACTATGTCATCGATACCATCTCCTGATATTCATAGTGATGAAAATGAAACAACAGTTGAATCTACAAAACAAAAACGTTTACCAAGAAGTGCTAAAAAACGTTTACGTTATGAACGTCTACGAGAACAACGTAAATTAACTGGTAAAAAGAAAAAAAAGCGTACACCTTCTAATCCCATTGCATCAATAGTAATCCCTTCCGATTCGTCTGAAAGTAAATATTCTTTTTTTTCATAGAAGTACTTTTATTTCATCAATAGTCTTAACTGATCAACTCGTATCAGTGACTGGAAAAACTTTTAAACGTGCTGCCAATGATCGTCTAGCAGAAATTAATCGAGATTCAGAAGCACCGATGATTTGCATTGATTGTGCATATAATGAATCAATGTCGAGTAAAGTTAGTTGATCTTATTCTTTGTAAAAATAATTCCGATAAATCATAATTTATCTATTTTTATCATAGGAAATTGCTAGTCTTGCTCGACAAATTGGACGATGTTATAGTTCAAATCGTCGAGCTACAAAACCTGTACGACTTATTCTAACCAATTGGTCAAATGATAGTTTATTAGCACAAGAATGTCGTCGTGTTAATAATGGTTTTGATAATTATCAAGTAACAAAAAAACAGATGGTTATTTTTCTCTTTAAAATGAATTATTCTGTAGATTATTCTCGATGATAAACCTATTTATGAAACATATCCATCTGAACGTTTAATTTATTTAAGTCCAAATGGTGATAAAATTTTAACAGAAGTTAATGAACAAACTATACATGTTATTGGTGGTCTTGTAGATGAAAGTGTTAGAAAAGTAATTCTTATTCTATACATAAGATATTTAATAATATATTCTTTTAACTATCTAGAATATGACATATCAATCATGTCAAGATAAAAATATTACTTGTTGCAAATTACCGATTGAAACTTATATGGAACATTCAGTTACCGGTGGTACATTCAATCAAATTCTTTCGATTAATCAAGGTGAAATTAATTTAATTCTATTCTATCCTATGTTTTGTTTTACTTGTAATATTTAGTATTTGATATTTTGGTTACATATATGACGACTAATGATTGGGGTCAAACATTGAAAAAAAATATTCCCGAACGTAAAGGTTGGGTGATAAAAAATACCGAAGGTTAATTTGAAATTTCTAGGAAATTCTATATATATTCTAATTTTATTAATTTAGATTCAGATAATAAGAATAAAATCGAAACTGTTTAATTTCTTGTTTTTGTTATCAATTATTATTGAGATTGATATCATTTTCATAAAGATTGACTTTTTTTTCTAGATAATCATGTCAGATGAAGTTGATGATCTATCGTTTCCAAATGCAGTTATTACTCGATTGATGAACGAAGCTGTAAGCATTTTCACAAAGTTTTCAATTCCATTCAAAATTGATCTTTCTAGTTGGAAGGATCACCAACTATTTCGAAAGAAGCTCGAGCAGCTATGTCACGTGCTGCATTAACATTTATACTTTATATTAGCACAACGTAAGTAATTATTTTATATTGAAAACAAAAATCTATATGTTTTTGATGTTCCTATTTAGTGCGAATCAATATGCTTCAAGTGCTAAACGTAAAACAGTAACAGTTCAAGATATTTTTAAAGCATTACAATCAAATCAATTTGATATGCTTGTTGAACCATTACAAGAAGCATTGAAAGGTTAGATGAGAATATTTTCAAACTGAATAAAATATTTTTTTATTCAGATTACCAAGAACAAACACGTAAGAAGAAAGAAGAATCAGCCAAGAAACAACAAAATCAACCAGAATCAACAGTTGAAAATGACGAGAATGATGAAAATGAAAACGAAATTGAAAATGAAGATAATGAACCTGTAGTTGAATAAAAAAAGATATTTTTGTCAGATAATCATATGATACTATTTTTTTTGTTATACATGTATATCTATAAAAAAACAAATTTTTGAAAAATATATTCTTTGTGCAAATTCTCATTTCAGATGTTGCTAATTTAACCAATCATTTCAATTATGTGCAATTAAAATGGACAAGAAAAGGTTTATTTATAATTTCTTTACTTTACAGTATAGAACCTATCGTAGTTATGTTCTTGAGCGAAAGCCCTTTTTTCGACAAGTTTTTGTCGGCACAGCACTTCGTCGACATAGTATACAGGAAAAGTAATCATAGTGTGATATTTCTTGTTTTTAGGGTGTGGGTGGGCATGTGTGTATTTTCGAATAAATCACACCGACATTTGCATCCGCCATCACTTCTCACTGACGATTGAATGTGAATGATCATTATTTATTGCATGCACTGAGCGACTATTCACCTTTGTTCCCAAACATAAAAAGATCGTTAAAGTCATGTGAACTTTTGTCTTGCTCGTGAGAAAATAAGAATAATATAGTTTTCGTTCGACGAAGTGCATTTCTACAAAAAAATAATTCGACAAAATGTCGTTCGACTAACAACATGGTATTCGAACTTATCGATAGTTTCGTTTCTATATTCTCTTTGCCTGATATGACAAATCATAGATTCTTGTTCTTATCATATAAATGTCAGCCGGTATTATTTCACAAAATGGGTCGATGCAACTCACACTATTCAAATAGTTCTAATTTTTTTGTGAGGTTTATCGAGGTTATACTGAAACAGAATTGACAAAAATTTTCGACGCCTGGTGGTATTATTTAAATATAATCAACAAATTGAATTGATAGAAATATCAGAGGATATACAACATATTCTCATAAAACGGCTGTTACGAGACGAGAAACCAATGACTTTTGAAATGTGTCGCATTTCATATTCTCTCCTACATAAATTCAGTATTCAATAAATTATTTTCTTTATTTTAGCTTTAATAATACTGAACATTCCCAATCCGGTAAAAAACCTTATTTAAGGATGTCCTCTAATACTACTTCATCAGCATCCGGTCATGAAGAAAAAGCATATCCAGGTAATTAAATAAATCATAATTCAATCTCATATGTTTCTTTTCACTTTTGTATTAGTTTTTCCTTGGTTTGGTATTGATATAGGTGGAACATTAGTTAAACTTGTTTATTTTGAACCATTGGATTTAACTGCAGATGAAATTCGAAGTGAAGGTGAAATTTTAATGAATATACGTCGTTATTTAACATCAAATCGTGCTTATGGAGAAGATGGTGTACGAGATGATGAACTTGAATTATCTAATATAGAATTAGGTGGACGTCGAGGAACTCTTCATTTTATTCGATTTCCAACATCAAAAATGATGAATTTTATTGATATGTGTGTTATGAGAAATTTACATACATTAACATTTCAAATCTTTGCAACAGGTGGTGGTGCTTATAAATTTGAGAAAGATATTGTCGATGTAAAATTCTTTTTTTAAGAATATTTACATCAACAATATCTT